ATAAAGAAAGATTAATCGTATCCAGTAAAGAAGTGCCAATTAAGGGTACAACTTCTTTAAGCAGCCTAGTTGGGATTGGATCTAACAGACAGGTTGATGGCTTGATGATAATTTCTGTAATAGTGGATGCAACTAGTTTGGAAGATGGAAACGCTTACATTCAGCAGCTAGAAATATTCCATTACTTTGATTTTAACTGTATTCGAAAACTGTATTCAAATTGTCCTAAATCTGAATTTTGGGGAGAAGGGACACAATAACTAATTGTGTGGGGAGTAGCAAAAAGTAACATAATTAATTGTATGACAAATTACTGTTGGTAGGGAGTGTGACGACCCACTCCACCCTGTCTTTCTGTTCCTGTTTGTGTGGCTGTTTTTTGTGTGCAAGTACTTTAAGTGGGCGTGCAGAGGGTCTTCAATCAATTGGCCACACCTGAAGCCTGTGTGCCATGCTCCTTTAAAAACCCTCTGGGAGCTCAGTACTGGCTCTCTCTCCTCCCTGAGACAACTATCTGGTTTTTGGGTTTGACGGTTTGATGGTGTTACTGCATATTATTACAACACAGCACTCATACACTTCTCCACTCATGCACTCACTTACACCACTGATCCCACTGATTTCACATACTACTGTTAGTTTAGTTTATTTTCCTTATAATAATTTGTTAATTGGCTTTGTTGTGTGCGTCTCCCTCCTTTTGTCATGGCCGTATTTGTGACAGGAGTAAAGTAGTAATATTGCTAGTAACGAGTAATGAGTAATAATACATTTTCTGAGTAACTAGCTCAACACTGCTCCTTCATTAGGAGCACTAGGAGGAGCCAGAGGAACCAGATTTTTTTTCACAGATTATCTGTCTCATTTACTACTGTCAGGATATAGTGAAAGGTTCAGCAAATATGCAAATAAAAAAAAGTTATTTTCATAAAAGTCACCTACTGCAACTATACCCATCTACAGAAACCATGGCTATAACTAAGATTAATAGGTAATTATTTCCTAAAAAAAATTATTTCCCCATTTATTCAGATCTAATTAACTAGATCACAGAAGCTCTCAGCTGCAATTGGCTTAAAGCTTAAGTTGATTATTTTAACTTGACAGGTGTGTTTCACATTCCAACACATAAATCAGAGGTGTTTCCAGACATTTTTGACTGGGGTGACACAAGTGGGGCACTGATTTATGGAGGGGTAGTGTGAAGTATGTGTCTTAGCTTTCCAGTCATTCCCAATTGATGCAATTCCAGTACTGTTCCAGTATGCAGAAATATTTAAATAATGTAGGTGAAAATAACACTTTTATACCACATGCAAGAAACAGGCCCAAAACTGCATGGAACATTTTAATTCAACACTGGTCACAGATCTGGTGGGCTGGGTGTTGTGACAAAGACACTTTATTTTACGATAGGTAACATCATTGTAAGTACATTGTTCACAGCAACTCCAATGTACTACATCAAACAGGATACAAAAGCCAAAGAAAAGAGGAGAATAATGAAAGTCCTATAATATAAGACTTACGTAAATAAATCAGGCAGGTAATTATATACAGTCATAAAGTGAACAAAGAACCAGACAAAACCGACTATACAACTTTATCTTCAGTCCACTCTGGGGTTTTTTTCTCTCTTGTAAATCCAAGTGCAACAGGAAAATATTGCTTGCAACATTATGTTTTAACAGTGTTTCAATTAGGACTAAAATAGTAACAGGAAAACAATACAATAAGCCAAATAATGCTCTCTGCTTGGAGCGCACTAAATGACACACAGTCTTTCTCATCTTATCAGTGCATGAAGAACCAGATACACACTTATTCAGCACTCTCAACTCATGAAAACAAACACTAAGACAATGTAATGTTAATACATCTAAAAAAAATGTACATGGAAACATGGTTCATGGTTCAGATTGTGTTGGAATTTGAATTTTCACTGTGAAATGCAAAACAATTACAAAATGACTTCTCTCCTGTTCCTTTTGTGTCTGACATACAGCAAGAAATTACACCTCCATTCTGTCACTTCCTAATCACTGACTGCATTTCTTTATAGCCAGAGCAGCATAACAGCTGTTGTCTGTGTTTTTATTGTCAGGTCACTCTCATGAGCATGAAACAGCGGTTATTTCTTTCCTCAGTATCACTTAAAGACCAGTGTGTAGCTGCAGATTGCAACCAACTTGCCTCACCCTCCCCTGAAACCTGCCGGTTCATCATCTCCTAAGAGGAGGACCCACTACCAGATAAAATAGATAGATAAAACTGTCTCTTTCTAAGGCATTGAACACACAACAATTCTTATTTTCAGGTCATTATACACTAATAAAAACACAACTATGAATATCATATTCCATCTCTGCCAATAGATCCTCTTAAATGTTACACACTAGACCTTTTAACAGCATTGGATTCTCCCAGATAATGTAACAATAGTAAGTTTAGTTTGAAGTATTTAAATTTTGTTTCTGAGAAATCCAGGTCATTTTAGCATAGCAACTGGGTTTAAATACCCATGAACCCTGATCATGTTCGCATGGAGGGGAGGCAGACAGAGGTGTTAAACAGAGTGGCAGCGAATTATAAACACTATCTCTATACTGTTGAGAACAGAAAATAGTGCCATAGTGAACCAGAAAGTGAATTGATTTTAACTGTTGTCAGTTTTCTCAACAGTCTATATGTTTTACCTCCTGTTAGTGGGGAATATAACAGAATTTTAGGTTCAGTGATTAGATGTTTTTGACGAAAGGCACCTTGGGAATTGTAGTTATCATCTACCTGTTGTACACAAGCTTGTACCTTCAACCTTTTATCAAAGTTGCAGATATTTTCTAATGCAGCTATAAATCTTTTTAGCTGATGATTTCCACATACAGTAAGTTTGCGCTCTGCTGTAGAGTAAAACTTAATAAAATTAGTGTACAATGTTGTTAATGACTATTAAATATAATTCATCCTGACCATTAAAATGAATTCAAAACCCATGAATGTATGAGTATTTAGTGACTTTCTTGGTCATTGTTCTATTACAGTTTAGTTTACTTTACATTTAGTTTTCTTCACAGAAGTGAACAAAATGCTGAGTTTTATGTCAACGGTGTATATTTTTTCAATTATCTTACACACCTTAATTAATCAAGAAGGCCTTGCGACCCCCCCATGAAGCTTTGGCACCCTATTAGGGGTCATCACCCCCAGTTTGGGAGCCACTGCTATAAGACAACAGAACATGTAACCAAAAGAAAATGGAAGCGGACAAAATGGAAACATTTTTAGCATCAATAATGTGTCTCTGCTCTTGTATTTTTAAAGAAGTGAAATTATGTATTTTAAAATTGTAATTGTAATAATCCCCATTTTTACAAAATGTAACTGTAATCTGATTGTCTTTTTTTGCAACTGTACTGGATTACCGTTATCTTTTTTTTTTGTTGGGCACTAGCTAAAGTCCTTCTGCAAAATTCTGAAAGATCTGAAGAAGTGGAGGATTTTTGATTCGGAGCAATTAAACAAGGGACTTAAAAGTAATGTGAACATGATGTGATTACAGCAAGTATAACGTTTTTCTTGGCCTGGGAAGGATCAAATCTAAAACTAAACTTGGTTGTAAGTCCTGTCTCACAACATACAGTGTGCCCCCAGAATTGATTCTATTTTCACCAATTTTCCTTTATAGAAGAACTAATACAGGATCTATCTCAAGTTCTCTAAATGTAAATTCTATTTCTCAAGACAAAGGACGAAATGCTGTTTTTAAAGCTGCCGTAGGTAACTTTTATACACTTTTGTGACGTATCTGATGAAACTTTCACTATGTCCTGACAGTAGTACACAAGACAATCTGTGAAAGAAATTCGGTTCCTCTGGCTCCTCCCAGTGCTTCTGATGGCATTTGCAAGAATCCACCGGCCTGAACGAAAACAACCAATCAGAGCCAAGAAAGATAGAACGGCGCTCTGGGGTGGCTTGAAGATAGCTGAATGAGGAGCACTAGGAGGAGCCAGAGGAACCTGATTTTTTTTCATAGACTATCTGTCTCATGTTCTACTGTCAGAATATAGTCAAAGTTTCAGCAAATTTGACAAAAAATAAACATATAAAAATGACCTACTGCAGCTTTAATCTAGAACTGGGAAGCTTTACTATGACATGTTTTAACAACCGGCTATGAGCCTTCAACCATTTTACTCATTTATGTTCTGTAG